GAGCTTTTTAAAGCATCACAAATGTATTAATAGCTGTTTATTATGTTAAAATACTATGACTTTCAAAAGTAAAACTGAATTTTGATAAGTATTGCAAACAATTTTATATGACTATTATTTAGCTATAGTTTTTTTTTTCTTTTTTGAGACAGTCTCGCTCTGTCCCCCAGACTGGAGTGCAGTGGTGCAATCTCAGCTCACTGCAAGCTCCGCCTCCCAGGTTCCCGCCATTCTCCTGCCTCAGCCTCCCGAGTAGCTGGGACTACAGGCTCCTGCCACCACACCTGGCTAATTTTTTGTGTCTTTAGTAGAGACGGGGTTTCACCGTGTTAGCCAGGATGGTCTCGATCTCCTGACCTCATGATCTCCCCGCCTCGGCCTCCCAAAGTGTTGGGATTACAGGCGTGAGCCACCATGCCCAGCCTATAGTTTTTTTTTAAATATGACTAATATTTAAAGAGAGCAGTGACGTCATAGAAAACGGCAGGGCAGGAAGCTTCGGGGATTGAATTGATTGGTTGTTCTTCAAAACCACCATTAAGCTGGACAAAACATTAGCAGAATCAACTGTTTTCTAACTCTTTCACCTCATCAGATGCTTACTGCAACCCGGGGAAGGCTTGATGATGCAGAGGCTGCAGCTTTTTGGTTCAGAGGGTGGTGTGGATGGACAGCCTATGTACCTGCTGCAGCCTGTCCTCAGCGAGGACCCTGTGCATTTTGGTCATATGATGGTGCCCTGAGGGACGAGCGTAGATGCGTGCCTTTGTCTCGACCCCTTAGGCTGCAGCAATTTCCCCAATACCATCTGTCAGAAAATTTAGAGACATACACTTTAAAAAAAGAAAAAAAACACGAGGTCAGGAGATCGAGACCATCCTGGCTAACACGGTGAAACCCCATCTCTAGTAAAAAATACAAAAAACTAGCCAGACGAGGTGGCGGGAGCCTGTAGTCCCAGCTACTCGGGAGGCTGAGGCAGGAGAATGGTGTGAACCTGGGAGGTGCAGCTTGCAGCTAGCTGAGATTGCACCACTGTGCTCCAGCCTGGGCGACAGAGTGAGACTCCGTCTCAAAAAAAAAAAGATCCAGATATTGGGCCAGCCACGGTTACTCATGCCTGTAATCCCAGCACTTTGGGAGGCTGAGGCGAGAGGATCATCAGAGCCTCTGAGTTCAAGACCACCCTGGGTAACGTAGTGAGACTGCGTCTCTACAAAAATAAAAATAAATAAATTAGCCAGGCATGGTGGTGCATTCCTGTAGTCCTAGCTACTTGGGAGGCTGAGGCGAGAGGACCCCTTGAGCCAAGGAGTTAGAGGCTGTAGTGAGCTATGATCATGCCACTGCACTGTAGCCTAGGTGACAGAGACCTCATCTCAAAAAAAAGAAAAGATCCAGACACTTAAGGAAATCTCTGTCAGGTTACAGGCTGACCAGAGAGACAATAAAAAGACCAGGAACCTCAGGAATACAGACTTTGCAAAAAAAACTTGGAAAATTCACTACACAAATGAACTGCAGCCCTCAACATGTAACAGAAGCAATCCTTGAGGAAAGGGATACTGTGATTTCCAGAGCTACTGCAGTGTCATATTCAAACTGTACAGTTCTCAACACAAAATTACAAAGCACACAAATAAAATGGAAAATATGGCTGACTTATGGGAAAAAAAGAATATGACAGAAACTGTCCCTGAGGAAGCCCAGATATTAGAATTACTAGTCAAAGATGTTCATCAACTGTATTAATATGCTCACAGGGCTAGCAGAAACCCTGGAAAACGGACTAAAGGAACCAGGAGAGTGATGTATGAACAAACAGAAAATGTGAACAGAGACAGAAATGATAAAAAGCAACCAAATAGAAACTCAGGAACTGAAAAACACAACAGCTGAGATTAAAGCATTCTACTGGAAGGATTCAGCAGCAGACTTGAGCAGGCAGAATTAGCAAAGGTGAAGAGAAGGCAGTTGAACTTACCAGTCTGAGGAGCACAAGAACAGAACCTATGGGACACCATCAGAAATACCAACACACGCATATAGGAATCCCAACAAGAGAGGAAAAGGGCAAACAAACAAAAACAACAACAAAAAAAACCCTAAAGAAATAATGGCCGGAAAGTGAGGAAGCACATCAAAAGCCAAAATCGGCCAAATGCAAGGCCTCTCGCACCAAACAGTTGGTCAAGTTGTGAATGCAAAGGAAAAGTTATTGAAGGAAATTAAAAGGGCTTCTCCATTAAACACACAAAAGAAAGTGAAACAGCCTTATTGCCGATAGGGAGAAGGTCTGAGTGATCTGGATACAAGACCAAACGAGACACAACATTGCTGTAAGCCAGCCTAATCCAGAGCAAGACCCTAACTCTCTTCAATTCTATGAAGGCTGAGAGGCGAGGGAGCTGCAAAAGAATAGGTAGAAACTAGCAGAGATTTTTCATGAGGTTTAAGGACAGAAGCCATCTCCACAACATAAAAAGTGCAAGACGGAACAGCAATTGCTGATGGAGAAGCCATCTAGATGGTCTAGCAAAGATCATTAATGAAGATGGCCACATTAAACAGCAGATAATCAATGCAGACAAAACAGCCTTATATTGGAATATGATGCCATCTAGGACTCTCATAGCTGAAGAGGAGTCGATGCCTTGTTTCAAAGGACAGGCTGACTTGTGAGGCGCTAATGCAGCTGGAGGCTTTAAACTAAAGCCAATGCTCATTCACATTTTGAAGAAAATCTGAGAGCTAAGTCTATTCTGCCTGTGCTTTAAAAATAGAAAAAGTTTAGGTGACAGCACCTCTGTTTACAGTATGGTTTACTATTTTAAGCCTCCTACCCTTGAGACCTACTGTTCAGAAAATGATTCCTTTCAAAGCATCACTGCTCACTGACAACCTGACAATGCACCTGGTCACCCATGAGCTCCATGGGAGATGTACGAGACGAATGCTGTTTGCATGCTGCTAACACATCCATCTGCAGCTCACGGATCAAGGAGTCATTTTGAATTTCAAGTCTTATCTTTTAGGAAATACGTTTTGTAAGGCTATAGCTGCCACAGAGTGATTCCTCAGATGGATCTGGGCAAAGAACACAGAAAACTTTCGGGAAAGGATTCACCATTCTAAATGCCATTAAGAACATTTGTGATTCATGAGGAGTGGTCAAAATGGGAGTTTGGAAGAAGTTGCTTGCAGCATGTGGTGATCTAATAGCAAGACAACTAAAATGAGAAGTGGAGCTGGGCGTGGTGGTGTGTGCCGGTGATCCCAGCTGCTCGGGAGGCTGAAGTGAGAGGGCTGCTTGAACCCAGGGGTTCGAGATGAGCCTGGGCAACACATGAGACTCTGTGTCAAAAAATATACAAATAAATAAAAAAGAAAGAAAATCTAAAAATGGAGCCTAAAGATGTGACTGAATTGCTGCAGTCTCATGATAAAACTTTAATAGATGAGGAGTTGCTCTCTATGGATAAGCACAGAAGATAGTTTCCTAAAACGGAATCTACTCCTGGTGAAGACACTGAACGTTGCTGAAACAACAACAAAGGATTTAGAAGATTCCATAAATTTTGCTGATAAAGCAGCGTCGGGGTTTGAGAGGATTAACTCCAGTTTTGAAAGACGTTCTACTGTAAAACGTTGTCAAACAGCATCACATGCTACAGAGAAATCTTTCATCAAAGAGTCAATCAATGCAGCAAACTTCACTCTTATTTGAAGAAGTTACCAGTCAGTCACCCCAGCCTTCAGCAACCATCATCATCAGCCATCCACATGGAGGCAAGAGCCTCCGTTAGCAAAAAGATTACAACTTGCTAAGGGTTTAAATGTTAAAGGCATTTTTTTAACAATAAAGTGTTCTCTTTTTTCTTTTATTTTTATTTTTTTAGATGGAGTCTCACTCTGTTGCCCAGGCTGGAGTGCAGTGGTGGGTGTGCTGTCCAGCTCACTGCAATCTCTGCCTCTGGGGTTCAGGTGATTCTCCTGCCTCAGCCCCCCAAGTAGCTGGTATTACATGCACGTGCCACCACGCCCGGCTGATTTCTGTATTTTAGTAGAAACAGGGTTTTGCCATGTTGGCCAGGCTGGTCTCGAATTCCTGAAAGTATTTTTAAATTAAGGTGTGTACACTGGTTTTTGGACATAATGCTATTACGCACTTAATAGACTACAGTATAAACGTGTAACTTTTATATGTACTGGGAAACCAAACAATTTGTGAAACTTGTTTTATTGTGATATTTGCTTTATTTCGCCAGTTTGGAACCAAAACTGCAATGTCCCCAAGACATGCCTGAAGGTACACCAGTCCATACTGATAAATGACTGAATAAACAGGAGAGAAGAAACAAATCTTCAAGAATAACATGCACAGATGCTGCTCTCTCCCGGGGTTGGAGCTTAAACCTCCTCAACCCACAGAGTATGGAAAGGGAAAAACAGGAACTTGACAGTGGAGAAACCTGGCAGACACCACTGTGACCAGGTGGCCAAGGTGAGCACTGCCTGGGATAGGTGATGTGGTGGTTACAACCACCCAGCAGGATGTGATGAGAAAGGTGCTTGAGAAACATCAGACCAACTCCAATGGAGGGACATTCTTCAGACTGCCTGGCCAGTACTCCTCAGAACTGTCAGGGTCATGAGAAACAAGGGAAGTCTGAGGAACTGTCACAGGCGAGAGACCGCAAAGCAGATGGGATGACTAAATGCAGTGTGTGCCTGGATGGGACTCTGGGACAGAAAGCAGACATTAGGGAAAAACTGGTGAAATCCAAATAAAGGCTGGATTTTAGTTAATGGTAACTACCAACGTTGGTTTCTTAGTCATGACAAATGTTCCATGGTAACGTAAGAGGTTAACAATGGGGGAAACTAGGTGAGGGGCACATAGAAGCTCTCTGTACTCTCTCTGCCATTTTTCTGTAAATCTCAAATTAGACCAAAATAAAAGTTTATTGGAAAAGAAAAATAAAAAAAAAGACATAACAGATGGTTTACCTTCTTTATTCCACTACGTATAACTATTTTGTAGGTTCAGAGAATCAGAACACATCTGTTGCAAAGGTGTGTGATCCAGTCTCTTAAGGCGCGTCTCTGTTCCTAAATGTAGAGATGCAGTTTGGAGTCACGTTAGGAACTGGGACGTTCTTAAGCCACGGAGAGGATGTGAGAGAATACTAACCTACACCGGGACAGCGGGACCAGGACCACTGCCTGGAGTCACGTGCTGTGGTCTGACATAGACGTCTCTAACATCATGTCACTTTCATTCATTTCAATTTCAAAGGTTTCTTCCAAGGAAGGTCTGGAATCTGGAGTTTTCCTTGAGGTTTCCAATGGCGTAAGCCCCGTTTCTTCTGCAGTCTGTTTTTCTACTTCAAATTCCCTGAAATCCCACGGAGGTGAAATAATGTTTTTTAGTGTCTTCATTGTATGCACATCAAAGTCATAACATTTTAATTTGTCTTTAATGTCTGCTCCTAAAAAGAAATACTATAATTAGAATAACATTAAGAAATTCCATCATTTATCATTTCTATTGTTATATAACACCATCTCTATCATTTAAGTCAGATTATACTATTTAGAATAAAATATAAAACTCCATCATTTATCTATCATTTCCATCATTATACACCATCTCTATCATTTAAGTCAAATTATACTTTTAAGAGCACAAGTTGAGAGCAGAAGGAAAACAACATTCCAATCTTTTCTTTTTCATTTGTTTTCCACCATTGGCAATGGAGGTGTCAGGAGACTTTTAGAAGCACAGGCAGTTGCAACTCCAGGGTTTCAATAGCTGCCCTATTTCCAAGGCCTCCTAAATACGGATGAGGCCTGTGGGCAACTTTTTCCTCTGCTGTTACAGATAAGACCTGCATTGTGTGGCCGTGAGGGGTGGCTCACACCTGTAATCCCAGCACTCTGGGAGAACGAGGTGGGCAGGGAAATTGAGACCATCCTGGCTAACACGGTGAAATCACGTCTCTACTAAAAAAAAATACAAAAAAATTAGCCGGGTGTGGTGGTAGGCGCCTGTAGTCCCAGCTACTCAGGAGACTGAGGCAGGAGAACGGCGTGAACCTGGGGGTCGGAGCTTGCAGTGAGCTGAGATCGTGCCACTGCACTCCAGCCTGGCTGACAGAGCTAGATTCCGTCGCAAAAAAAAAAAAGAACTGCTGCGCCCACTGGGTATAGTCACCAATCTTATGCACACAGAAGCCACAATGAAATAAAATTCATTTCCCATATATTAAAACCTTAAGGGTGATATAAATTTGAACAGATCTGAACAGATATATTAGGTACAATCATTCGACATAAACAAAATGAGTTTTACACAGTTCAAACCAATAGCTTTCAGGAATAGGTAGTTTGGCAGATAATGACATGCAAACCTTCTAGAAATAAAAATGACATGAATGGTAAATCTCTTCTGCAAGGTCAAGAAGACGTCCCTCTGACTCATTATCAACTCTCCAGCCTTTATTTAGCTTCCTATGAACTTGCCTTGAACAAATGACGAAACTAAGGCTCAGACTTGCCTTTCTTGCCACAGGACTGCCGAGGGGCAGAGCTGAGGTTTCAACCCAACATCTCTAGGAAACCAGAGTTTACATTTGTTTTTTTAAAATTGAGCTAAAACCAAGAGTCAAGTGTGAATCTCCTTAAGCACACGACTGAACGCTACGTACATGCATCCCACATGACCACCGCCAGAAGGGCACAGAACACGCACAGCTCCTTAAGACCACCCTGTGCCCACTCCTGGTCAATAGTGCCAACTTTCCCAAGCCTGAAATAAGCACTATATGGACTTTTCTATCACTACCAATTAGTTTTGTTCATTACTAATTGATATGGTTGGATCTGTGTCCCACCAAATCTCAGGTTGAATTGTAATCCTCTATGTTGGAAGGTGGGGCCTGGAGGGAGGTGATTGGATCATGGGGGTGGTTTCTCCTGAATGGTTTAGTGCCATCCTCTTGGTGCTGTTCTCGTGACAGTCAGTTCTAGTTGTTTAAAGTCTGTAGCACCTCCTCCCTTTCTCACTCCCTCCTGTTCCAGATATGTGAAGTGGTGGCTCCCCACTTAGCCTTCTGCCATGATTTCAGGTTTCCTGAGGCCTCCCCTGAAGCCAAGCAGATGCCAGCATCATGCTTCCTGTACAGCCTGCAGAACTGTGAGCCAATTACACTTCTTTTCTTATAAATTACCCAGGCTCAGCTATTTCTTTATAGTAACGCGAGAATGGACTAATACACTAATCTTATAAATGGAAGTAATCAGTAGATATTCATATTTTTGTCAAAAATCTGTGAAATTTGCCAGGTGTGGTGGCTCACGCCTGTAATCCCAGCACTCTGGGAGACCGAGGCAGGCAGATCACCCGAGGTCAGGAATTCAAGACCAGCCTGGCCAACGTGGTGAAACCCCATCTCTACTAAAAATACAAAAACTTAGCTAGGTGGGGTGGCATGTGCCTGTAATCCTAGCTACTCGGGAGGCTGAGGCAAGAGAATTGCTTGAACCCAGAAGGCGGAGGTTGCAGTAAGCTGAGATTGAACAGCTGCACTCCAGCCTGGGCGACTGAAACTCCCTTTCAGAAAAAAAAATAGTAATAATTAAAAATTTTTAAAAATCTGTAAAATTGATCCATGTTTCTAAATGATTCAGTAGTATGAACATGCCACAATTTATTTCTCCTCTCTCCTACTGGTGGACGTTTGAGTCATTTCCAGTTAAGTGCTATTATGAATAAAGCTATGAATACTCTTGTTTGTGACCTTTAGTGGACAGAAGCACTTGCTTCCGTTGGGCTCACACCTGGGAGCACAACTGCTACATCACAGAATCAGTATGGTCAATCATCACCCTCATACGCACTCCAATGAATCACACCTCCCGGCACCCTCACCCTGGTACAGCCCCTCCCACATTGACTCTGAGCTTATGAGACTTGTACTGATGGAACAGAACGTGATGGAAGTGATGTTGTGCAACTCAGAATTTTCAAGAGGTCCTGAACTTCGGTTCTTGTCCTTTAGAACCCTGAGAACATCGTGCTACAAAGAAACCTAAGATGAAAGCCCCAGAGAAAGAGACTTAGCACCCAAGCTGAGCTCCCTACTGGAAAATGATACCATTTTAGACCATCTACCCAGTCAAGTATCTGCTAACCACAGCTGCATGAGTAAACCTAGAGAAGACCCACAAATGGGTCACTCAACCCACAGAATTGTAAAAATAATACATTGTTGGTTGAGGTTTTGGAGTGGTTAGGCAGCAATAGAGAACTGATATAATAGGCTTAGCTTTACTGTGATGTTAAGCAGTTTTCCAAAAAGGCTTTACCCTTTTATAACCCACTAGTAGTCAATCTACGAGAGTTCCAGTTGCTCCACATCACACCAATACCACATACTGTACTTTTAGCCATTCTGGTGGGTGTGTACTGGTTTCTCACTGTGGTTTTATTTATATTACTTTTTTGAGACAGGGTTTTCACTCTGTTGCTCAGGCTGGAGTGCAGTGGTGTGATCGCTGCAGCTTTGATATCCTGGGCTCCAGTAATCCTCCAGCCTCAGCCCTGAGTAGCTGGCACTAGAGGCACACACCATCACTATGGTTTTAATTTCATTTCCCTGAGAAGTAATGATGTTGAGTGCCTTTATTTGCTTCTTAACTGAGGCAGAATATGGTCTAAAGACAGGGCGCCTTCACTTCAGCCTCTGATTGGTCACAGTCTTCATTTGCATAGGGTGTAACTTCACTTCAGCCTCTGATTGGCCACAAACCAATCCTTCATTCGTATAGGGTGTAACCAACAGGAAACCCCTAAGGGTACTTAAACTCCAACTGGGGCTCATCAGCTACTTGCTCAAGCCGGCTCCCACTCTGTGGTGTGTACTTTCACTTCAATACACCTACGCTTTTGTCTTCCACTGCTTTGTGTGTTTTGTTCAATCTTTTTTCACCATGCCAAGAACCTGGACGACTTGTAGTGAAGACCTTCCACACCAGTAACATATTTTGGTGAGCCAGTCAGGAGGTAAGCCCAAATTTTGGGATTTATTTTTCTTTTATTTTTCCCTTTTTCCTCTCTAGAGAGCCTTCATTTGTGGGCATGAGCTGGAGCTATCGCCACGTGGCGATACCTGTAGACAGGGGAACTCCCCGCCTCGCTATTTCCCTTTTCCAACTCGGGATCCTCAGTGGATAGCACCTAAGCACAGAGACAACTGCGGGTCTCTGGCTGGGGACATTCTGGTGAAGTGAAAGATTTCCGTGTGGAAGTGCCTGGCCACCACTGCCCAGTTTGGATGAGGGACCCAAGTCCTTTTCTTGTTTTCAGTCTTTCAGTGGCCATTTCCTACCTAATTGCTCCTTGGTAACTGAGGGCAACTGGCTGGGGTTACCTAAATTTCTTGAGGTTCTCCTTGGAGGAATGAGAGAGTAACTAAGGCAGTAAACTATGATAAATTAAGGGAGGTTACACAGGACAAGGAGAAAAATCCAGCCATGTTTCATGGCAGGCTGGAGGAGGACTTTAAAAACATACCAATCTGGACCCTTCCTCTCCCAAAGGCAGTGTTGAGCCCTCTTTTATTCCTAGTATTACTACTTTTGGTATGAACTTTCTTTTTTAGTGATTATGTAGAAGTTTATACATTTTAGTGACTGCTTTAAACAACCTATACTGTATCATTTTCAAGCCCACAGAAATGTATAAGGCATATAATTTTGACACTTTTCAATTATTTTTAAGGTTATAAGCATGTAAAATACTGTTAATATATATAAGAATATGCATAACTACCGATATATAGCTTTTTTTTTTTTTTTTGAGATGGGCTCTGTCACCCAGGCTGGAGTACAGTGGTGCAATCTTGGCTCACTGCAACCTCTGCCTCCCGGGTTCAAGTGATTCTCCTGCCTCAGCCTCCCGAGTAGCTGGGACTACACACGTGTGCCAGTATGCCTGGCTAGTTTTGTTTTTTGTTTTTCTTTTTTTAGTAGGGGCAGGGTTTCACCATGTTGGCCAGGTAAGTCTTGACCTCCTGACCTCTGCCTGCCTTGGCTTCCCAAAGTGCTGGGATTACAGGCGTGAGCCACCATGCCCGGCCTAGATAGCTTCTTTTGAGAGATATTCTCTAAATTTTCATCCAGAGTAGATTCACTACAGTTTATTAGGTGTGCTTCTCAATACATTGCCTGAATGTTTTAAAGTACATAGAAATTTGAATACTGTTAACCTCATACATTCCTTTGTTTATAGATTGTTTAATATTTCTAAGGATTAAAGACATCACAGCCCCCTATAAGATTCAGTAATATTAATAAAATTTGAGACATATAAGGATAGAACCCAACACATTCAGAGAAAAATTGTTTATACTGCTGTAGAGCCGGAAATGAAACCCAGGTTCTAAGGGGACAGGGAAACTGTTTGTTAAGTGTGCCATGAGCTACCACACAAGTGCATCAGTGACTGGGCATAGAGCAGGCACAATTACAGGATGGTTAAGAGAGTGAGCTGTGGAGCTTAACTCTATGTGAACATGCATTTTTAAACTATGATGTGCTTCAGTTTATCCTACTTTACAACGGGTATTACTCATTTTTTGTTGTTCTTCTCAGTTGACTGGATTATTTCCCCAGTCTGTCTTCTTGCCACTCTGGATGCCCACATGAGACGACCCAGGGTAATTTCTGACAGCCTCGGACTCCTTGGGAAAACCAGAGGGCACCACAGACCCCGTTTTAGGAGCAACCTCTGTTTCCCTCAGGGAACCCCAAGACACATAAGCAGACAGGTCCTTCTCAAAATCTAAAGCTCCGCTCTGTTTTCTATCACATTACCTGATCTTTTTGACTTTTGGGGAAATTACATCAGACATTACTTTAGTAGGGCCCGGGCACAGTGGCTCATGCCTGTTATCCCAACACTTTGAGAGGCTGAGGCAGGCAGATCACCTGAGGTCAGGAGTTCAAGACCAGTCTGGCCTGAACATGGAGAAGACCAGTCTCTACTAAAAATACAAAATTAGCCAGGCGTGGTGGCACATGCCTGTAATCCCAGCTACTCGGGAGGCTGAGGCGGGAGAATCGCTTGAACCCGGGAGACAGGGGTTGTGGTGAGCCGCGATCGTGCCATTGTACCCCAGCCTGGGCAACAGAGTGAAACTCCGTCTCAAAAAAAAAAAAAAAAAGAAAGAAATTACTTTAGTAGAAAAGGGGGTTAGCAGGCTTGCAACTTCCCTATCCTAGATCTCAAGATTTAACCTCACCACATCCTCCTTATCATGTAATGTTTATAACTAAACGAGTGCCCAAGTACAGCAATTCCATCCAAACTTATATTATTACTTATTCACTGTTATGGAAATGTATGGCATCTCAACATTCTATTGAAATGTAAAGATTTATATTGTCATACCCTGCATTTAAAATAATGACAGAGCCCGTTCGATTGTGTATTCGAAAAATGTTGCTAAGATTTCTTTTTCCATTATAGAAACAGACGGGTCCTTCTATCAAAGTGCTTTACACTTACTCTATAGCGGTATTTTCCACAAGCAAGTATTCAACTTTAAACTGAATGTATCCTCGGTGAGTCACTAACTCCCCACAGCATTGTTCCAATAAAATAAATGGAGTTTCTTGTTTTTAATGCAGCACGAATGGTTAGAATGATAAACTTGGAACCTCAATGAGAATATGAGAAACATAAACAGAGACATATAACAACCTAAAAAATGGAGTACAATACCAATAAGAATAATGATCATCTTACCGATATAAGCTTCGGAATCACCAATGTACATTTCGATGCAATGACCAAGCATTGTAACAGAAAATGTATCATCTCGCCTAAGACCAAGGGCCTGCCATAAAAGATTCAGCATGGTTATTAAAAGAAAATGTATTTCCTTCTCTTTTGTTTAGAAATATTACCACACTGATTCATTTCAAAATATTCCAGAGCATCCAGGGTGGGGGAAGCGGCACTGTTAGTGGGGCCAGAGCTACACGAGCCGATGGCTGGCCATGAGCCGATGACTGTTGAAGCTGGTTATGGGTCATGGAGGTTCATCACACTATTCTATTTTCTTATGCTGGAAACCTACACCAAAAAAGGTTTTTTAAAAAGTTCTATCTCGACTGGGCACAGTGGCTCATGCCTGTAATCGCAGCACTTTGGGAGGCCTAGGCAGGTGGATCACCTGGGGTCAGGAATTCCAGACCAGCCTGGCCAACATGGTGAAACCCCGTCTCTAATAAAAAATACAAAAATTAGCCGGGCATGGTGGCAGGTGCCTGTAATCCCAGCTACTTGGGAGGCTGAGGCAGGAAAAGTGCTGGGAGGTGGAGGCTGCAGTGAGCCAAGATCGCACCACTGCACTCTAGCCTGGGCAACAAAGTAAAATTCTATCTCAAAAGAAAAAAAAAAGTTCTATCTCCATATAGAGTTCTCTGAGCCTTCTGTATTTGTTTGTTTGTTTGTTTTCAGACACAGTCTCGCTCTGTCGCCAGGCTGGAGTGCAGTGGCGTGATCTCGGCTCACTGCAACCTCCACCTCCTGGGTTCAAGCAAATCTCCTGCCTCAGCCTGAGACTGAGGCACAGGGCTAGTAGCTGGGACTACAGGCACGTGCCCAGCTGATTTTTGTATTTTTAGTAGAGACGGGGTTTCACTATATTGGTCAGGATGGTCTTGATCTCTTGACCTCGTGATCTGCCCGCCTCAGCCTCCCAAAGTGCTGGTATTACAGGCGTGAGCCAACGTGCCCAGCCGAGCCTTCTGTATTAATCAGATCTCAGAAGAAAGGTAAATTATACAACACTCAAATATACATATTTAAAAGATTATACAGGACTAGAAAATGTGCTTAGTCCAAACTTCTGACGAGCTCAGTGCTCTGGTGACCATCATGGTACCTTCACGACTTCATCTAACCTCAAAATCTCTAATGAACTCCTGAAAATCAGTTACAAACCGCTCATGAGTTTATCTTTGATAAATTTTCTCATATTTTATCTCTTTTTCCAAATAGCATTAGTTCACTGATTCTAAGACCCACATTTTCTCAAATTCGAACACTGCTTCCCTTTTACCTGTGGTTTCCTATTACTGCCATCAACCAGCCACCGCTGTGATGTAGGTAAAACCTGCCTGAGCAGCATGGACTTGGTGGTTATGTTGGCAGCACAGACTAGATCACAAACCATGTGAGGAACACTTAAACAGATACGGGGATTGTGGTTTTCTAAAAACCCTCCATTGACACTTTAGCAGACTGAGAGGGATGAGAGAGAGAGAGTTGGAAAGCAGGTGTCTGTGGCTGGGAGGACTAACCCAGAGTCAGGAACTGGGTATGTGTGCTAGCATCAGGGCACTATTCTGGGAAAACACAGATACTGGCCCTCTGGGTTGAATATTGCAACCATTTATTTCACTTACATGTACATTTCTAGGTATGTACTAGAGTAATACAAATCTGCCTAAATATGTTCAAGAATATTTTCTCTAAATACAAAAAAATTAAGTGACAGGAAAAAATTATGTTAAAGTTTAACTGGCAGCACTTTTTTCTTTATGGTCATCCTGCTTACTCATGGTCTTAAATTTGATGGAATATGGTACATGGATTAAGGAAAGGTTCTTTCCTTGTGATGACTGCACAGACTGTTTTGTTCATCTACTGAAGTGATCTAAGCGGATTAATTGTAAAAGTCATCAACAGAAAGATGGGAGTTCCCAAAGGGCCTACGTGGACAGATAACGCTGTGCTCAGCACTCAGATCACTGGCGAGTGCCGCCGGGCACCTGCGCACTTCCCTGCAAACACTGAGGACAGGACTTATGTTTATTTCTAATTTGATGAATACTGTACAACACCTACATGCTTCGCTCTGCAAAGAAAAGAATAAAACGTAAGGTTGCCTAAAGATTATTAAAATAGTAAGTAAAATATTACCTAGAAAAACTATTTCAAAAAAGGAAGTGGTCAGTGTTAACCAGATTTAAAATCAGGTACAAAGACAAGACATACTGTGTGGAAGTAGTCCACAGCATTTTCAAAGTTGCCCATCAGACTGTGGATATATCCAATAGCAGAGTAGGTGGATGCGTTCTGAGGAATCAACACCAGTGCCTGGCGGTGGTAATCCAAGGCCTCGGCGTACTTTCTGTGGGGGAGAACACAATCACTGGCCACAGTAAAAGCACTAAATCCCTAAGTCTAAGATGAGTCCATCCATATCAACACCCAAGAAACACTATCTCGATAAAAATAGCAGTCTAGACTGGTGAACGTCCTCCACACCTACTCTCACGCATCTCAATATGCCCTCTAAATGCATCTTCCAGGCCTGCTCCCTCCTCCAGCCAAGGGCACTCCTGCAGGGATGTCTGCTGTATTCCTTCTGATGTCTACTGGGACACTGCAACCAGAACCCCAGTCCCTGCCTCCTGGCTGTGTCCTTCCCACACACCCCCCTTAGGTGACAGTCAGCGTCCCATATCAGGGGTAAATAAAAGCAGCCAAGGTGTATTGCTTTAAGGTCCAAAAGATTTACTTAGAAAAGTGCTCCCCAAAGTTCTCTGGAATACTTGACTTGTAAAGTCTTTTGTGAAAAAAATGTTTTATCCTCAATTAAACTTTGGAAAATACCATAAGCTTGTAATACATAGTAAAGACTCAAAGAAATCCTGCAATAGAAACACTTGTTAAATCTTGAGTAACCTAAAATTGCCCAGACTTATTTAACCAAAAAAACCATTTTTCAACTGTTGCCTGTTTATCACACCACAAAACCTCTAGCAGAAAACAGTTAGAATATGGATAGGATTTTAATTATATCTTACTGTCCTAATTCTTCTGAATTAATTTTGAACACTAAATTTTCATATGAAAAAGCAAAAATCTCAATGTTTCTAAAATAAAATTACACCACAGAGATAAATAATAAAAACTGATTTTGATGCTAATTATACCTGAGCAGCCAAGTACAAGAAAGCTAGTGGATCTCATGAAATAAAAATATGACAAAGTATTCAAAATTAAGTAAACTTTGAGTCACAGTATATTTCTGAAAATGCTCTACTTCACTTACTTAAGTTTTCTGCAGACATGCCCCAAGTTGTTCAACAAAGGTTCCCATTTGTCAACTGTTACCTAAAACATAGCAACATCAAGCCCACGAGTTATATATGTCACGGTTCAGCCTGATTTGTTTGCACTGAATTATTTCACGCCTTGCAAGCTGGGCTCTCTCCCAGTGTGTGCCTCCAGCACACCACAAGGCCAGGGTAACTGCTGGTTTATCTATCTCCCTTTCTTCCCTACTGGGAGACTTCTGAGGACTCTGTTATCATTAGGACAAGTTTATCCAAGAGCCAATCCCTGCTGGAGTTCAAATGAGTATCTGCAGCTCAGAGCTTTCCCTCAAACACCAGACCTCTCTCTCCATCTGCCTGCTAAATACTTCTGCTTGGAACTGTTACAAGCACTTTAAGTTCGGTGTGCTACGCACCACACCCGTCTCTCCCTGGCCATCCCGCCCCTGACCTAACTGCTTCTGAGTGCCCCTCCAGTCAGTGAATGGCCCCCCCATCCCCTCTGACCCTTCCAGGAAGCACACCAGGGCTGGTTCCTTCTAATTGCTAAGCATAACTCCAACCTATTTAATCCTCACCTTCCTCACTAACAGAGTCAAATCTGGGCCCCAATCATCAAAGTCTGACCAGATTGTTTCCTTCTTAAATCCCTTTTGTTTTCCCACTCTCCTCAGGATAAGGTACAAACTCTTTCATTCTGGGCCCTTAGTGACCCACACTTAACCCTCTTGACCCACTAACATTCTCTGTGAACTCAAAATCCCAGTCATACTGAATTAGCTCCAATTTTTGCAAATACGGAAATACCCTGGCCCTAGTTTCTGCCTGGCTCATGTGTGATGACTTCCAGGACTGAGGTGTATGCAAAAGGCTCACTTCTGGGTGAACTGCCTTTCTCTGTGGGCACCTTTAGTTCCTCAATTGTACCGTATTTCACCATCAATTTACTTATTTACATTCCCCAGTTGATCTGAGGTCAGGAAATAGTAAACTCATTGCCCGTTGCATCCCAACGCCTAGCTCAGAGCCTAGGACTCATTAAATATATGTCAACTAAATGAATGAACAGACCTGAGCCACAGATTCTCTGTCTCTATTGAGACCAGTTCTAGGAGGCACAGCCCATGTGAATGAAAAACAAATCATTTAATGACTCTTAGGCATGACTATTTTTCTTTAACATTTTCTGCAGTTTCTAATAAAGTATCTTCTCCCTCTTCATATAGCTTTTTAATAGGCATTTTGACATTTCAATAGTATTGTGCTTTCATACTTCAAACCATTAAATTTCTGTAAGACTCTAAATTTACTGCCTCTTAATTATCAAAGAATACAGGTTCAGTTGAACCTAAAGTATGGTTTAGGAAAGTGCTTCTCAAACTTTTCTGTGCGTGATAATCCCCTGGGGATCTTGCTGAAACTGCAGATTTTGATTCATTTGGTGTGAGATTCTGCACTCCTGGCAGGCTTCCAGGCGATGCTGATGCTGCTAAGTCCGTCTGAAAACTGACAAGGTGGCAAGTGGCAATCCCCATTAACAAAACACTTGGATTATCCAGAACTAACCACGACTATGTGGCAGAGGCACCTGCTTTATATACATGCATGTGCAAACACAGGAATAGTGTTTATAAGTTCAGATAACATGAGAGACCAAAGTAAACAAAGCTGTGTCTATGGGGACAGGCAGATCGCTAGGCAGGAAGGCAAAGCTGTGTCTGTAACAGCAGAGAGAGCTAACAGCCAAGGGAGAAGAAAACTGTGGGCAGGTGTGCACAAACAGGAACAGAAACAGGAACAGCAGGAAGCTGAGAAGTGAAAATCAGAATAGAATGAAACAAAACAGGCACGGATGAAACAGAAGAGCATCATGCAAATCTCTTACCTATGCAAGTTTATGGCATCTAAAATTGTTGCTACTTTTAAGTCATATCAGTATATGCACATCCTTGATAATTGTTAGGTTAACTCATAAGCACTAATTCATGGGGTACATCGTTCATGCAACAGAAGCAGTCAAATATTTTAAAATGGAAAAGCCCAAATACACACTCAGTATGCAATAACAGAAACAAAAGGTGTGAATTTCAGTAATACCTATCCCACCCCTATTCTTTCAGAAGTGGGACCTGCCGCTATACTTTATTTACCCTTCAGTCAAAGAAGCTCTCTGAAGTCCTAGAGGAGGAATGTTACATCAGACGCTACAGTGCCCAATAGCTTCCCGAACCAAAGACTATTCCTAGCTTCAAATAATCATCCAATCTGTTCTGATGCCTCTCACATTTCAAAGCTAGAGCCCATTTAAGGAGCAAACGCCCAACATTTGCCCTCTTAATTAGGAAAAAAACCTCATTTCTTACCACGTGGTAAAACAGTTAACTAACAATGCAAACATTAACAGCTGCTTGTTACAAAAATATCAGCTTATTATCTTTGAAGGCAATGAGATTTCCTCATTTAACAGTGAACACTCAGGGGTGTGTATGTGTGTATTTACAGATACAACAAAGAATACCTCGTTCCCAATTGCTTTAATTTTTTCCAAAGCATCAAGAAACCATTTTTCGGCTGTTTTCCATCTAAAATGAACGGAAAAAAGGTTGCAGATTATTCAAAATTACCAAATATAAACTTTCAAAAAACTTTTGATTCTTTCTAGTAGTACTAAAATGCAATGGGGTAAAATGCTGGAAATAATTATAAAAATTCAAAGTTAAGTCACAAATGATTAATTTTATGGCATTAATATCAAGAGTTCAAGATTTCAAGATTTTGGGAGATGTAGTGTGTATATATATATGTATTTTTTAAGAGTCTCACTCTGTCACCCAGGCTGGAGTGCAGTGGTGCGATCTCAGCTCACTGTAACCTCTGCGTCCCGGGTTCAAGTGATTCTTGTGCCTCAGCCTCCTGACACAGCTGGGACTACAGGCATACAACACCATCCCCAGCTAATTTCTGTGTTTTTAGTAGAGACGGTTTCGCCATGTTGCACGTGCTGGTCGGTCTCAAACTCCTGGCCTCAAGCAACATGCCCGTCTCGGCCTCCCAAGTGCTGGGATTACAGGCGCAAGCCACTGCACCCAACCACAGTAGTTATGTCCTATAAAGTCACTGTGCACACTGAGTTAGCAAATATTGAACCGCGGCTCCCAGGGGAATGGTAACATTTTCTCTAATCGATCAATGTGTAACCTTGTTTTATGTGTGTTTCTGTTTAAAGACGTCTTATTTGATACATACTGTTGATTTATCAATATTGAAGTCAGGGCCAGCAGCACTGTAACTGATGCCTGCCTGAATGAGGCTTCTCTAACACATGTGTTTCCTCTGTCAGATACGTCACAATTAACACCAGACAGCATTTCACTAAGCTTGGGGATTATTTCAAAACAGTGAAATTAGCAACAAAAAGCACAAAAATGTGAAAACTGGCACTAAATAGACCACAAAAAGTACACTGGTTTATAGCTGAACTGAGAAAAAAGGCAGAGCGTTGCCTTCTTAGACTCCAGCTGGAAATGTGTGTGCCAGGAGACCCAGCTTTCTCCCAGCCGTGGGCATGTCTGCCAATGGCTAGGAAAGCACCTCAGGAACTGATTTGGTTACAAATAAATTTTAGTGAGCAGGCAAATTTGCAAATACTGATGATTACTGTATTATATTAAAAGCTTCAAGCTTCAAAAAAATACCTAGATAACCCATTTTTTAGAACACATACATGCCATAAATGACACTGCAGTAGTATTAATACTAATTTACGGCCGGGCGTGGAGGCTCACGCCTGTAATCCCAGCACTTTGGGAGGCTGAGGCAGGCGGATCACGAGGTCAGGAGTCGGAGACCAGCCTGACCAACATGGTGAAACCCCGTCTCTACTAAAAATACAAAAATCAACCGGGCGTGGTGACAGGCACCTGTAATCCCAGCTACTCAGGAGGCTGAGGCAGGAGAATCGCTTGAACCCGGGAGACAGAGAATGCAGTGAGCTGAGATTGCGCCACTGCACTCTAGCCTGGGTGACAGAGCGAGACTACATCTCAAAACAAAAACAAAAACAAAAAAAACTAAAACTAATTTACCATTTTAAAATTTGTATATCATGAAATGCAAAGGATTACGGAAATTTTTCTCTTTGAGTGTAACACCACTTATTCCACAGGTATCCTAGGGTACAGTAAAGCCTCCACTGACCAGGAAACTCAGAGATTGCGTCATTCTAATTACTTAAATTTTCTGACTTACTAGTAACTAAATAGAAAACACTTTTGTTTCAAAAACCATGTCAAATGTTTCTCAAATACATAAATTCAACTCCTCATCAACACAGAGATAACTAAGGGTCCACAGTGCTCCCAGCCACACTGTGGGGTCTGTGTGATCTGAACTGTCCAATCATGTAAGAAAACAAGTGGTAGCTCAGGTCAAAAAAGACCAAAACCTGGGTTTAGAATTTTTAAGGAAATCCAAGATAACAGATTCTTTTTTCTATCTCCTTCTCCTAAAATAGAACACTTAACAGTACAAATCTACTGAAGAGTCACTTTGGTCAGTTAACTCTAGTAACCGTCTCCTCTATTTACAATCACTAGTTAACAGAAGGGTTTCTAGTCTTCCAGTACTTACTCTCCATTCTGAAATGCAACCACGCCGACCTCATGCATAACAAAAGGGTCTTCCGGTGCAATGCTCAGAGCTTGGCTGAAGAACCTTTCAGCTAGTTTTGAGTTATTGGTCAAACCATATTCTAATCCAATATACAGCATAGGCAAATGACACCTAAAAAATTGGAAAATTTCACATATTCAACACCAAAAACTGTGATTTAGCAGAAATTAATCTGTCAACTCCAAATCCTATCTGCAAAATAATTTAAAGGTGGCCAAAACACAGCATTTACTTTTTTCTAACTCTTAATTTACAAATATTTAATGAATGCCTAATGGACTTTGGACTAATCAGCTGCCACTTCTAGAATCTATCTGCAATGTATTTACCTTTAATTTTCATTTTATTCCACAGTAAAAAAACAAAAACTCTCTAAAGCAAAAGGGCATGTCTCCGTGGTGCTGTCTTCCTCCTTGTTGCGAATGTCACGCCACAGCCCACACTGGTCTTCCTCTGATTTATTCACACCATTTATCCTTCAAGACTGTGTTCAAGGTCTACTTCCCTTTACGAAGCTACCTCTGACTTTTCTAACATAAATGCTCTCCCTTCTGTAAATTCCCATGATAATCAGTTCTATGCAGAGGAGTTATGAAGAATGCTCTGTGTATTGATTCAATTTTCCCACCTTCTGAGACAGTTCTAGGCAGAGTCAGAACTACTTTTTAATTGAATTTTCATCTGTTCACACGACTGGATCAGCGATTGCATTAAAGCAAGTATAATAAGACAATCTTTCTTTGATGATGATCTCAGAACATCAATAAATACTGATTGCCTGGTATGTGCTTTGGTTCTAATCGAGAGCCATAACTCAAATTAAGATTATATCCTCTACAGAAGGTCATGACAAATTCTTTAAAAGTGTTTACAAGTAACCTCTTGGAAGTACTTTCAAAATGGCAGCGTCAGAACCTCCAAAAATCTATTCATCCATAGAAGCAACAAGAACACTGGCAAAAATTATCAAAATCAACTTTTTCAGAACTTTGGAAGGTAAGCAAGCTCTTAAAACAATCTGAGGAGTGTATATTCAAGAAAAATGGCTAAATCTCAGTAAGAGCAACAAACTTCGTGTTGCTTTAATTTGTCTTATTCCCATCTCCCTTTGCATTAACCATGAAAACAAGCAGCCTCATAACCACAGGAGCTGTAAAGCCATTAGCCTGGCAGCTACTGGAGAAAGCAGAATTAATTTGGAGTTCCTCAAACATCCCACAGAGAACTGCTGCTATTTGACCTGTCTGGTGGCTCCTAAAAGAGCCCCACTCATAGCTTGTCTTCTACTAACCTCCGAGCCCACTCAGTGAGAAAAGCTCTATCCCCAGGAGATTTGTTGGAAACAATCAACAGCAATTATTTAGCATTGGCTGCCGCCTCAGGCAGCTATCCCAGTCAGGGCAAACTGGATGCAGGCCACAAACTTAAAAGGAAACCTGGGGAACAAGATGTTCACAGGGGGCTATAAAGAGCTCTGACACATTCCTGGGGATTGGGAAGGCCATACACATGCATAGGGCTATATGCATGCACAGAAAAGGCCTGAGAAGGCCCTATTATCTCATCTCTGGCCGATCTTGAGAAGGCTAAGGCAGAGTTGTCAACAATGCTGAGTGTTGAAGGTGTGCAGAGTCCTTCCGCAAAGGGTGGAAGACTTCCTGGTTTAAGATATCAAAGCTGCTAGTTAACTGAGCAGAGGCTTCAGTGGCTTCATACAACAAAGTCCATAAACTAGAGAATTAGTTCTGGAAAGTCACTAAACAAACAGTGACAATGACCAATAAATCCTGGGGCTGTGTGGGAAAATCTCATTTCCTGAACTGCCCCATTATATGACTTTACATATCTACTTTCAACAAAAAAAGGACATGCAAAGAAACAGGAAACTATGGTCCATACACATGAAAAAAGCAGTCAATACAAACCATTCTGGGAAAAGCCCAGATGTTGGACTAACAAGACAAATAGCTTAAATAAGCCATGTTAAGTTCTACAGAACTAAAAGAAATTATGTCCACAAAACTAAATTATGAGAACAATGTCTCACCAGAGAACACCAGTAAAGATACAGAAATTATAAAAATCAGGCAAATAGCAAATCTGGAGTTACAAAGCACAAAAATTGAAATAAAATATTCATTAGAAGGGATTAAGAGCAGACATGAATAGGCAGAAATAAGAATTACTGAACTTAAAGATGTCAACTGAGATTGTCCCATCTGAGAAACAGAAAAAGAAGAAAATGAACAGAACCACAGAGGCTTGTGACACCAACACATGTAGAATAGGGGTCCCAGAAGACAGAAGAAAGGAGCAGAAAGAACACTGAAGAAAATAACAGCCGGAAGATTTCCAAGGAGCTTTAAGAACTCCAAGAAGAATAAACTCAGAGATTCACACCTAGACAAATAATAGTCAAACCACTGAAAAAGATGAAAAAAGGAATGTTTAAAGCAGTTACAGAAAATCATTAATTACATACAAGGGCAATTTCAGTAAGATCAACTGCTGACTTCTCACCAAGTATCATGGAGGCCAGAAAGCAGCTGATGACATTCAAAGTACTGAAAGAAAGTTGACCAAGAATTCTACATCTAGCAAAATTATCTGTTGAAAATTAAGACATTCCCGGGGGGGGAAAAATGAGAAAATTTATTGCAAATCGCCTTACAGAAAACACACAAAAGAGCTCTACAAGCTGAAAGTACCCCAGACAGTAATTGAAATCCACAAGAAAAAGAGTACTAGTAAAGATAATTATGTAATTACAAATGACAATTTAACAGGTATTTCTTTTTTCTCTTGATTTAAACAGCAATTGCAGGCTGGGTGCAGTGGCTCACGCCTATAATCCCAGCACTCTGGGAGGTCAAGGTGAAAGGAATGCTTGAGCCCAGGAGTTGAAGACGAGCCTGGCACACAGTGAGACCCCATCTCTAAAAAGTAACAAAAAACTAGCCAAGCATGGTGGTATGGGCTTGTAGTCCCAGACACTTGAGAGGCTGAGGCGGAAGGATCCCTTGAGCCCAGGAGTTTGAGAACGCAGTGAGCTGTGACGGTGCCATTGCACTCTAGCCTGGGCAAGAGAGTGAGACTCTATGTACAGGTTGAGTATTCTTTAGCTTGAGACCAGAAGTGTTTTGGATTTCTGATTTTTTTTTTTTTTAATTTGGGAATTTATGCATTACTAGTCTGAAAATCCAAAATGTTCCAGTGAGCAATTCCTTTTGAGTGTCAAGCCACTGCTCAAAAAGTTTTGGCTTCTGGAACATTTTGAACTTTACATTTTCTCATTAGGGATACGCAATATGGAATTATATTGTTGGGCCTATCACATACAGAAATGTAAGGTTTACCAATAACAGCATAATAGGAAGCGGGTGACAGCAAAGCTGTATTACAGTAAGAAAGTAACACTGGATGGTAACTTGAACCCATAGGAACAAATACAGAGAACTAAAAATGGTAAATAACAGGGTTAATCTAACAAGTGATATAAATTACACACTTCTCACAGCTTCTTTGAAAAACAAAATTACATAAATAATAACAATGTATCATTGAGAAAAGCTGTCATTAGTACATCTGCCCAGTAAGAAATACTAAAGGGAGTCCTTTATGCTAAAATAGGAGGATACTACATAGGAATTCAAATCCACATTGTTGAAGAAGAGTCAAACTCTAAGAACTCGAAGTGCAGGCTTCCAGGTTACAGGTAGATTTAAGATTTTTCTGATTGGCAACTGGTTGAAAGAGTTATTATCAACAGTAAGCAATACCTGGGTTGTAAGAGGTTGCAGAGACCAAATTTTATCATGCAGACAAAGCCTCCAGGTAGCAGGCTTCAGAGAGGATAGATGGTAAGTGTTTCTTCTTATCAGACTGAAGGTCCATTAACATCCACGTTGATGTTAACGCTGTAGGGTGTAAAGAGGCGTGTTGGACCCCTACTTCCCATCACGGCCTGAACCAGTCTTTCAGGTTAAATTTAGAGGGCCCTGGCCTTGAGAAGGAAGCCCATTTAGATAGTTGGGGAGGGTCTTCAAATTTTATTTTTGGTTTCCAACATGAAGAAATGAGAGTCTGATAAAAATAGCTATATTGGTAATTATGAGACAGTATAAAATGTGTTTTTGTTTTTAACTCTTCTATCTGATTTAAAAGACAACTAATAAATAATAATCACAGATCTGTGCTGATGGACTTATAATATGGAAGATGTATTCTGTATGACAATGACAGCATAAGGAGGCAAGAGGAAACAGAGCTATATTGGAGTAAGGTTTTGGTATACTATTAACATTAAATTGGTATTAATTCAAAGTAGGTCGTTTTAAATTAAGGTGCTAATTATAATCCTAAAGATAACCAACCTAAGAAAATTACTAAAAAAATATAGTATAATAAAAAAAGGGATTAAAATGGGACATTATAAAATATTTACTCAACACAAAAGAAGGCAGTAATGAAAAATACAGGAACAAAAGATGTGATGTATAGACAATAAACAAAACGCCAGACATAAATTCTATCTTGTTAGTAACTAAACATAAATGGGATAAACAGGCCAAAGGCAGCAACTGGCAGAATAGATTCAAAAACTTGATTTAACTATATGTTGTCAACAAGAGACATGCTTTAGATTCAAAACACAAGTTGGAATTAAAAGGATGAAAAAAACCACACCATATAAACAGTAACGAAAGAGAGCTGGTGTGCCTACAGTAACATCAGATGAAACAGACTTTATCAAAAAGTATTATTAGAGATAATTAGTGATATTTTATGATGATAAAAGGCTCAATCCATCAAGAAAATATGACAATTATATACACACCTAACAACAGAGACTAAGAATATATGAAGTGGAATGTACCAGAATTGAAGGGAGAAATAGAAAATTCAACAATAAAATTTGAAGACTTTAATACCTCACTTGCAATAATGCGCAGAATCAATAAGTAGAAGATCAATGATGAAAGAGCAGACTTCAACGACACTATGAAAAGTAGATATAACAGGTATCTATGGAACACGCCACCCAACAAGAGCAGAATTCTCAAATACATCTGGAACGATCTCCAGAATGGCTCATAAAAAAGCCTCAATAA